TTCCTTTTTATTGTCTCTTTTGAATAGTGTGTAAATGTTGTTTATCTCTATGTGCCTGTTGGTGGCTGACTTGTCTGAATTCCAAGCTTCCAGGAATTCCCTCGTGTTTTGAATTTAGCTTGGTCTAAGATGTTGAAAGTTTCCCAGCTGAAACTATGGTTAAATCTGTCCATGTGTTGTGAGATTAAGAAGTTTTCATCATGTCTTCTGACTGCTAGTTGGTGTTTATGGGTGCACTCTGCTAGTCTTCTACCTGTCTGTCCTGCCCGTCCTTACACTGTACGTTGTAGATGACTCCTGTTCTTTCTTCTTGGGCTACTGGGCCTTTTGGTTTACTTACGATGTTTTGGAGGGCTTTAGTTGGCTTGTGTGCTACAGAGATGCCATGTGGTTGTAATAGTCTTTTGGTTGTTTCTGAGACGTTTCTGATGTATGGCAGTGTTATCCTATTCATAACTTATGTTGGTTGTGCTGTAGTGGGTTGAATGGTCAGGCACTTTTTGATAAAGTTGTGTGGGTATCTGTTTTGTTGGAAGATGTTGTATAGGAGGTCTGTTTCCTTTTTCTGCTGTTCTGGGTTGCTGCAGTTTATACCCCTTCATTATGTTCATACCTCTGTTTATACCCCTTCATTATGAAAACTGACCGCTAATTCTTTCTCTCTGCTCTGTTTTTAAGCAGTTAATGATCCATAACAATGTTTCATTTGTTATTGCTGAAGACTAAATTTATTCAGAGGTTTGGGTGAGGGACTGTAGTGAAAAGTTTTTTGAAGATCCAAGTAACCAAAGAACTCAGAAAAGCTAGTGAAATGTGGCTTGTTTGGTTCTTTGCCTTTGCTTTAGGATGAGACCGGCGCATATCTCATAGATCGAGACCCTACTTATTTTGGACCTATTCTGAATTTCCTCCGGCATGGGAAATTGGTACTGGATAAAGATATGGCTGAGGAAGGTAAGTCTTCAGATCTGTATGTTCCAGAACCCAGGTTTATGAATATTAGGGTTGTTTGTGGCGGGCAGTGAGCATAATTGATTGCTAAGGGCTATTTATTGACGTGCCTCTACAATACACTTGACAATACTCTTCTCTCTGTGTGCTGTTGTTTAAAGTCATATTCCATGACAGTAATATTCTGATGGAACCTTAAGAACATATTAGATCTTTTCTGGCTACACGATCTTTTTCATAAGTTTGAATGCTTCACATAATTTCTGAGGGAAATGATTCCCATCTTCTAGAACAGGAACACAGAATGCTGCCTTATACCAAGTTAGACTATTTGTCTATCTGACACAGTCATATTTATACAGTAATAGGGTGCCTTCAAGGTCCTTTTTACCGACCCAAGGGCCCAGTCTTCCCACTATTGTTTCTGTTGTTAAAAATGGGTAATATGGTTTTCTGCCATTTTTGAATAAGAAAGACACAAACTATAAGATAAATCTTAAGATAGACTTAGCATAGTTAAAAAGCAAAGAGACACCCTCAACTGCCCCCAAATTATGTGAAAAATTATCCAATATTGATTTTGCTCACATCTGAGATACAGCCCTGCCTATTTTTCACACTATCTCTGCCCTTTATGGCCCATAGCCATCCTGCATAAAATATTAAGTGTAACCCTGATTGTCAAAAATTGCCCATCTCTGGCTTATGATGACTGGATGCAGGGGGTCTCCCGGGTTCAAAACAGAGTCTGTCTTAGCCTTGATGGAGAGACCAGTTGTTAAACCCAGGGGATGTCTGGATGAAAATCAAAGGTTTTACCATGGAGTAAATTATTCCTTTCCTTATTTCTTAATTAGTTCTTTCCTTGCCTTTCTTCCAACAGGTAGAGATGTTCTTGTTCACGCTAGGATTTATATTGGTTTTGCTACTAAGGCAGTTTTAATTGATTATGTATCTTTTTTTCCCTTATAGCTGTTTTTAATTGTCCGATTTATGCATAGTTATTCTGTTTTTATCTTTATTTTTATAATAAAGTTGCCTAGAAGTGCCATTTTGGTGAAGAACTCTGGATAACAAAAATTTTAAAAATATGGGCTGCTTAGTTATTTCACCTATCTAATGGCTTACGACTTGGTATCTCATTGCTGGGCTGTATTCTCTAAATAACTCTGCTAAGATGTCAATATCTTCAAAACATTTTCTCTTATCATCCATGAGAAAACTTTACTTTTTGGCATATTGCCTGAACTAGCAAACTGCCTTAGCTTAGCGCTAATGCCTGCACTAGTGCAGGAGGGGGAGGTATGTTCAAGAGGAAAGAAAAATTGCAGATTTACTGAATAATTCATGCATACACAAACCTGTCCAGTCATAATAACTAGCAATCACTATAACCAACTCTCCTGTATATTACATCTCCCTTAAAAAAAAGTTCACCAGTACAACATACAGGGGTACTAGACCAAACCAATGGTGTATCTCACATATTTGACACTTGTTTGCTGCTGACAGCCAGGTTGGTCTAGTGGTCAAGGTACCAGGCTAGAAATCAGGAGACTCTGAGTTCTAGTCGTGCCTTGGCCACAAAGCCAGCTGGGTGACCTTGGCCAGTTGTTCTCTTTCAGGCTGATGAAGAGGGAACTAGCATGCCACTTCTGAAAAATGCTGCAGGGGGTGGTTGCTGGGAGTTAAAACTCACTTGAAGGCATATTTTTCCCTCTGTCGCTGCTGTGTGGCACCACCCACCAAACAGGGGTGCCTCTGCGCTTGCTGCTGGCCTCCTTGTCGTCTTCAGCTGCACCCCCCTGTGGCCTGCACTCAGGATGGACGCCCCCCCCCCAGTACTCTACTGGACACTAAGCTAGCAGTTGAACTGGGGTGGAGGAGAGGAGAGGAGAGCCGGGCCAGGCTAGTTTCTTACAAAATAAGTGGGTGGAATAGTGATTATATACTTTATCTCGAATCTGGGCTAGAGAGTGACTTGTTTTTATAATGAAAGTTGGGGATTCCTACTTCCCTGCTTTGGGATGCCCATGTGGATATTGTCCTCAGCCACCATGACCTTGCTGAGTGGGGTTGAGGCTCTGAACTTGAAGACAATATTAAAGAGCAGGTTTATTTACTTACTACTGTAGGGTAAGTACAAAGCTGATCTGGTCCTTACTGTACTTTGGCTCCACAGTCTATTTTAAAATGCCTGCATTCCATTAATGCAGTTCTGTGTACAGAGAGTGAGGAACAGGCCAAAGAGTTCATCTGAAGGATGATGTGTTTTTACCCTTGCGAATACACTGGTATTTGGGTATTCTAAATATTTAGTTTTCATGGCTTTGTAAAAGGCAACGTCTTTCCTTCAAAAATGTCATCCCCCTTTTGAATGCTCTGCACTCTATATTCAGAAATCCCAACAGTCAGCTTCAGATGGCAGATTTTGATGACACCTCTTGTTTTTGATACTGATCAGCTAATTAAACAATAGAGCTAACCATCCAAAATAGATACAAGCAATAATTTCCAGCGGTCAAAGAAAAGTACAAATGCTTAAGTGGCAGTAAGAAGTTGAGGATAGTGGAAGGGGAAGAGGAAATGTGCTATTGGAAGCTCCGTCTTACAGTGCTTTTATGTTTTATTTTTGACTTTGCTTTTAGTATTTCCCTCTCATATATCTTCTAATTTTTAACATAAGCTTGAAAAATGTAAAGTGACTATATGCTTATAGTAACGTTTTTTTTCCAACTTAAAAAAAAAGATGCTGATCAGATAATTCACAGCATTACACCATCTTCAGTTTCTCTGCCCTGACAGTTTCGTTTACTTGTGGGAGTAGGTGGCAATGGTGAGAGTACTTGCCTGAATTATTCAAAGCACAAATTTCTTATATTGCAAAAAAGGAGTAAGAATGGGGTGGGGGGAGAATTGACTGACTGAGTTCAGACAACACTACACTAGATTAAAAGTTCAGTGTGTTATAAGAACTCAGTCACATGTTATGGAAACCCATGTTTGGTTTATTTGTTTGGGGACATGTTATGTGCAAACAAAAATTATGTCTTGGTAACCTGAGTTTAGAATTTAGTATGTTATAGGAAGCCAGCCAATCAGTCTTGAGTAACCTGAAGTTACAGCATTTTATTCTATCCCTATTCAGTTCTGGGTGGTTTACATGGGAGGGGAAGGAAAAGAAAGGAACAGCAACATCATTTTAATGATGATGGTAGTAGCCCTCTGAGGTGATTGAAAAAGAAATTGCTTCCTTGTTCCCCTCCCCACAACCTTTGGGCTTGTGCTATACTTTTTGCTTTGTTTATTAATGTATTCATCTAGTTTTGCTAGAGAAGGAAAGTAACATATGGTGAAGACCAAGTTTTCCAAATAAGGCATCAGGTCCAAATAGATTCTTCTGGTGAATTACAGAATGCTGGTTCCTAAGCGCAATTCTGGTTCCTCAGTGTGTTCATTAAGTGCCTAGATCCCCCATGCCTGCTGCTGAAATGCATCACGTGTGTGCCTCTAGGGAAGAGACGAGAGAGGATGCAAATAATGACAGGTGAACAAAATGGAAGGCAATATTTTATTTGCTTATGTTGCAGTAAGGAGTGGCATTTCATGCCAGCTTCCCTTAGGCCTGTGTTTCTTAATCTCAGGAACTTTAAGATGTATGGACTTCAACCCCCAGGATTCCCCAGCCACCAGTTGCAGCCTAGTCCTTGATATTTTGGTCTAGAAATCCCATAATTCCCTAATATTGCCCTTCCGTCTGGGCTGATAATTCCAGTTGGTGGATATTGATATTGTGATAAAAACAACAACAAAATAGGTCCAGCAAGTCTGTAGTCTGGCTATCACTGGACTAGAGCTAGATAGTGGACATGTCTGAAGATTAAAGTATTTCTGCATGAGTGAAATACCTGTACGCTTGGCGGTATAATCTGGTTGGTTGGTTAAGGCTTCCCAGAGGGTGGCATGTGGGCTGGGTCCAAGCAGTGGTGAATTCATCCTTGAAAGAGGGGGTGGTCCATCCTGTGCTTAAGATAGTGGCTCATCCTCTCCTCAAGAAGCCATGCTGGACCCAACTGTGTTAGTTAATTTCTGGGCTGTCTCGTCTTTAGGGAAATTCGCTGAGAAGGTGGTCAGGCTGCAGCTTCAAGGGGCTCTTGATTAGGTAGATTTCTGGATCTCTTCCAGTAGGGGTTCAAACCTGGATACAGTATGGAGATGGTATTGATTTCACTTCTTGACTTATGGCGGGACTGGCATGGAGGTGGTGCATCCATCTGATTTCCTTGAACTCTTGGCAGCATTCAATACCATTGATCATTATATCCTTTTGGATGGTTTAGGGGTTGGGAATGGGAGTCATGGTGTCGCGCTGGTTTTCTTTCTTCTTGGGCCTGTTCAAGTTGGTGTTGTTGTGGGGGTGTGGGAAGAGATCTAGCTTCAAGGCTCTTGCTTTGTGGGATAGCTCAAGGCTTGATTCTCTCCTGACATCTGTTTAACATCTGTGTGAGACAGCTGGATGGGATCATCCATAAGCATGCAGCTGGATGTACATCTCAACACTGGGCCCTCCAAATGATACCATCAAGATTCTGCCTTGATGTCTGGAGGCTGAAGGGACCTGGATGAGGGAGAACAGGCTCAGACTCAACCCTTGTAATACAGAGTGGCTCTGAATTTTAGGACTATCTAGATCTGGAGACTTTCCATCTTTGTTTCTGGATAGAGTAGCACTACCCCAAATCTATCCGGAGTGCAGTTTGGTGGGCTTCCTAGACTTACAGCTCCTGTTCAGAGAGGGACTTTGCATAGTTCCACTTAGTACACCAGTTGTGCCTATTTCTGAATCAGGAGGCTCTCCTCATAGTCATTCATGCCTTAGTCACCTCACAATTGGATTACTGCAATGCATTCCACGTGGACTGTCCTCAATGACCTCTTAGAAGCTGCAGCTGGTCCAGAATGCAGTGGTGCAAGTAGGATAGATCTCTTCTTTACGAACTACG